AAAAAAAAAAAAAAAAAAAAAAAAAAAAATTAATTATAATAAAATAAAATAAAATCAAAACTCAAATTTAACTTAAACACATTATCATTAATATTATTAATGTAATTAATATCAACTAATCATTCTTACACATCAAATCAACTTTAATTCACTATTCATCTACTCACATTATTTTAACTGACTATCCCTTCACATCATCTATTTTCTGCTTTTACATCAAATTAATTTTAATTATTTTATTTTAAATATTAATTTAATTTATACTTAAATTTTCACTAACTGTTAATCATATCACATTTTTTAAAATTAAGTATAATTAAAAAATAATAAAAAATCAATTAAATCTATATTCAATCACATCTTAAGTAAGCAGAGCGGTCACACAAAGAAGCCCCCAAATTCTCACGAGCAACGTGCAACTACTTAAATATTTAAAAATTGACAATACTAAATTTAATATGTGGATATAAATCATATGTGAATATATAATAAGAGCACGGGTGCAAACTTAATATCCTGTTGAGATTCTACACTCGAGCATTATCTTGTTGGGATCTTTTTAGTTGTTTTAGTTTTTTATTGTGTTAGGTGTTTCGTGTAGTTGTGAGCACGGGTGCAAACTTATCATCCCTTGGTTGTACTATTCAACTTTCTCTTTGCACTTTGTGCGGTTTTTATTAATATAATATCTCTATCGTTTTGGGGAAAAAAAAGTGAATATATAAATAATCTACAAAAATATACTATAGAAATGCATATGAGCATGTTTGTTTATAAGATTTTTATTTTTTTTTTAAAAAAAAACCAACATTTTAACTTAACCATTTATTTTAACTCAAACCACTATCATCAATATTATCAATATAATTAAACTAGTACAACGCCCATGTATTACACAGGTGTTTGCTAATTTATTTTTTTCTTAAAATCTAAAATTAATGAAAAAAAATATAGTTGGAAATGTAAATACCTTTTTTTATAAAAATATATATATTATTATATATTTAGTATGACACTTTTCATTTGTGCGACTTACCTGTGTTATATTATAATAATTTTTTTTAACTTACAATATATAACTACATTAAACATAAATATATCAATTGAGAAATAAGTTTATTTTTCTAATAAATTTTAATAAATATTATTATTTTTTATTATTATAAAGATAAATATAATTTATTTATTTAACATATACAATATGAATGTCAAATCAAAGATCATCAAAAGATGATAAATTTGATATATTATATATGCACAACCGATAAGAAATACAAAAGTTATCAACTTTTAAAATACATTTACAATTCAATAGCTAATTGAAGGAAACAAATCAAAAGACAGGGATATATTAGTCACTTAGTGTCTCACTATATAAAATTACAATGAATTAAAAAGTTATATTAGTACACGTGATATTAAAATACCTAAGTTAGCTAAATAATGTTTATGGAATGTCCGAACCTAGATTATTAATTATTAATATATCAATATTATTTGTCCAAACTTAATTACGAAGCATGATTCTTCGCTAAGTAGGATTCCGAAGCACCAGAAGCAGCCACGTAGGCTCAGCGCATTCGGGAATTATATATAGGGGGAGGGGGTAATATCAATCAATTATTTATACACACTACATCAACCTTAATTCACTATTCATCCACTGACATTATTTTAATTAGCAATCACTCCAAATCATAACTCTCCTACTTTTACATCAAACCCAAATGTTAATTATTTTATTTTAAATGTTATTTTGATATACTCACTAACTAGTGTTATCCCGTGCGATGCACGGACGAGCTTTTTACTTAAAACCCTTTCTAAGACTTTATATTAAACATAGTTATTTATGTTTAACATCTCATTATTGTAAGAAAAGAAATATCAAATATGAAAAATTATATAGTATTTATTTGAATATAATGGGTATCCCCAACTAAACTAATAACATCAAACATTAGATATATGATAAAATTAATTATATGATTATCATACTTTTAGGAAAAAAAATCATCAATTAAGTTGAACTACCCGAATATAAAAAATAATTTATGATATCATTGACCATTTTACCCGTTGTATTTAAAGATATCATTGACCATATTTTTATGACTTAAGGTGTACAAAATATCTTTTTTTTTCAAATAATAATTTTTTTATTTGAATTTGACTTTTTCATCCAACCGCTATTTTTCACACAAAAAAATAGTATTTTGGGAAATTTTAGACGTGAAAATCAAATAAAATTAATTCAATAGTAATCGATTAATTTAATATTGTTCAAAATTATTTGATCCGGTCATAACCAAATTTGATTGAGCATATCAAATGAAATCAGATTTTATACCTAAAATAGTATACCTTTTGTTTGATTTCCCACAACAAAAAAGGTCGTGCTTATCATCTTAAACCCAGTCCAACCTATTTTAGATTTTAAATATATAGTAAGCAAATAATAGATGTGATCTACAATATCTAATATTAATTTGAATTGTTTTAAATAAGCAAAATTTTGAAATAATTATTTGCATACAAAATATTAAAATCGAATATGTTAGGGAATTATTTCTTTAATAAAAGAATCTTTTCAAAACGTATCCAATATTAATTTGAATTGTTTTAAATAAGCAAAATTTTGAAATAATTATTTGCATACAAAATATTAAAATCAAATATGTTATGAAATTGTTTCTTTAATAAAGCAATTTTTTTCAAAACATATTTTACATTATCTTTTCAAAACAATAGAAATTTTTTTCAAACGTATCCAAAAGAAATCGGTTATGTAGAAGATAATATATCTTATTTTAAAGAATCCATATTTTTATGGAATTGTTTCTTTAATCACATCCTAAAAAAAAAAAGAAAATATATTTAGTTAGGCTTATTCTAAAAATCGTATTTAACCAATAAATATTTACCAAGTCCTATCCTAAAAAATAGGAAGTTAAAACATATGGAATTGTTTCTTTAATAAAGGAATCTTTTCAAAACATATCCAATATTAATTTGTTTAATAGTAAAAAACGGATTTCACAAAAAAAATTAACCAAATCTCTTCATAAAAAAAGGAGTTAAAATAGGGGGAAATTAACCAAATCTATTCCTAAAAAAAGGTGTTAAAAAAGGCGTGTAATAATAATCTGAATTTCATTTTTTCCTATTCAAAATCAAATCAAAAACTTTAGGCGGGATTTGTGAAATAAATTTAAAAAAAAAAAAGTTTCTACAAAAGGTAATTTTCGAAATAATTGAGCGAGCAAAAACTTACCGAAATTATATTTTTTTCTTAATTCTATTTTATAATAATATATAACTAACCGTACCACATTTTTCAAAATTAACCAAACCAAACCAAACCAAAAAATTCCAAACAAACCAAAAAATTTTCATAAAACAAAATTCACCACAAAAACAGTCTTAATTCCTCCATCGTTGGCGCTTGTTGCCTGTGCTGTCCACACGTCTTTCCTACTTGCTCACCTACGCCACCGTCCTCGCCCTCCTTCTCCGGTGCGCTGTGACTACTTTCTATATCCTCGCTTCTTATTTCTGCTCTTTTTCTTTTTCCCGTTCAATTTCTCTCTGTTTTTCGGTAATTTCATGACCTAATTTTCGTGGTTTTCGTCTTCCTCTGCTGAGGATTCTGTGTACTGCACATTTTAATTGATTATGGTGAATTGGTGATTGGAATCGATGGAGAAATACGTAGATACGATGATGATCATTCAACTTTTTATTATCCTATATTTTCAATGATAAAGCTCTGCGTTTGTGGTTCATCAGGAGTCCCTGATGAACTTCAGAGAGGCTAATGAATGATGATTAAAAGCTGTTTATAGGCATGCTAATATGCAAAATTACTGATCAGTGGTATGCCCGTTTAATCGAATGTAGTTATTCGCCGGACAATTTCTATTCCAAAACAATCCCTGCACATTCCCCACTGATTTTCGACTACTTGAGAACAGTTGATAGAATGGAACCAGCAGCTTTCTTTCTGCCTTCATACATATATTTGGTTAATTTATGGCGAGTAGCGATTGCTAGATCTTGTTTTGAGGACGGTTGACGGCAGCTTTGAAAAACTCGTTAGTACTGTTTTGGCAAACTACCTATGTTGTTTGTAAATCTATTGGTGGAGTTTCTTTTACGAGCAAATCTTTTAAAGTAGAGAATCAGTTTGTCTCATTTTTTTTTATCTCTATGTATGATTATATATTTACATGTATGATTATATGTTCGTCCTAAGCTTTAGTTTTCACTTTGTCTTGGGACTTGAAATAGATAGCCTTATACTCATTTCTCATTTTAATTGGATTCAGTGTTATGTTTTTAATTGGCTAAAGGTTGTTGCCAACACCGTTATTTCGAGTGGTTGTGTATGACTTCCATCTCATTTGTTATCATGCTGTAATTCTCATTGTCCCCTGTAAACTGTAACATTTATCTGCCATTGAACTTTATATATTCCACCTGCCTTTTGCCTTTTGGTGCACTAATTTACGTGAAATTTTCTCCTTTTTCAGATAAATAACTCAACGGTCGAAACAATGGACTTCCTTTGCAAACCAATGAATGAGGAGACTTCTGATTGCTTCTTGAGCCAGCAGGATATGAACAAATGTCCTTTTTTGAGGAACATACACAAACCAACCAATTTTTCTTTTGGTTCTTTGAACTTCCCAACCGTAAGTTGTTATTCGAAAGATCATTCTGATTTTGTTTCTCTACATTACTTATATCCGTACCTACTCCTCTTTCAGTTTTCTCATGTTATGATTATCTTTGTTTCAATTTCATATCTTCTTTTTTTTCTTTTTCTTTACTTTCAGTTTAAGGTTGCCAATGGCCCAATTTTCGAGGATGGTCCAAACTTTGAGATGGCCTTCAAACTCTTCCACGGGAAAGATGGGTTGGTCCCTCTCTCTGGCAGCTCTCAAATCCATCTTGACCAACATGAGACGGAGGCTGCACCAGAATTCAACCCTTTAGCATCGAGAGCTGCCTCTATCAGTATGTCATCATTTGGTCCAGGTGGACCTTTCGGTTTCAATTCTTTCTTCGGGAAGATTCAGAAAAAAAAGCCTGATTCATCCAGAAAGAGAGAGCATTCCTCTAAGGTTCATTGTTAAAGTTAATACTATATATCTTCAATCATGAAGCAATATATGCTAATTACAGTGCCTTGTGTGCAAGCAACTTGTGTGGAGCAGCTAATAGAAGCAGATAGTTTGTGCTGCTAGATTTAAAGTTCGCTTCCCGTCCAACGTGGGACGTCAATTATTTCATAAATTTTTTTTGTGGCCCATAATTTAATTAATAGTTTGGTAGATAAGTATATCATAATGTCCTTTGAAACCCTTAAGCTTTCAATATCAACCAAAGCATCCTCTTTCAGTTCCTTCTTAGTAATCAGGGTATGCGCGTTTTTTTGCCCACTTGCTAAATTCTGTACTTCTTTCCTTAATTTGTATTCTTATACAACTTGATGCCCGTCAACTTATTCACTCACTCAGTCATGCTTTTGCAGGGCGACTCATCAAAACACGAGGCGCTTGGGAACGAATGGCTCGAGAAAGGCAACTGCCCTATCGCGAAATCATACAGGGCAGTCAGCCACATCCTCCCTCTTGTGGCGGCCTCCCTTCGCCCGCCGCCCGGGATCAAGCTCAAGTGCCCGCCAGCTGTCGTCGCTGCCCGGGCAGCCCTGGCCCGAACCGCGTTCGTCAAGAGCGTCAGGCCACAACCGCTGCCTGCCAAAATACTCGTGATCGGCGCTCTTGGGATCGCCGCCAATATCCCACTGGGCATATGGAGGGAGCACACGACAAAGTTTTCCCTGTCGTGGTTTGCGGCTGTTCATGCGGCAGTCCCCTTCATAGCCATGCTTAGAAAGTCGGTGGCCATGCCCAAGACGGCCATGGCTCTCACCATCTTGGGCTCGGTCATCGGGCAGCTAATCGGGTCGCGGGCCGAGCGGCTCCGGATGAGAGTCGAGGCTGAGAGGATGGTGGGGACAGATGGCGGCGGTCGATGTGGGAAGGGGATGGAGTGGGACCCGGTCGAGGGTGGGGTAGGGAAGAGTACGGCCCCATCCTCGTCCATCATTAGCGTGTGATTCTGTGGTTTGGATGAGAGGATGGATGATGTTGAGAGAAGGCTTTATAGACATGGCATTATATATTTTTAATGTAATTGATATTGTTCAGATTTGAGTGATAGGAAGATGGGAATATGCAACTCATTACAGGTTTATTAGTGTATTATTGCTCATGTCACTAGTGCGTATAGCACGGTATTGACATGCTTGTGTTATTGAGTTGAATGTAGATCAGAATCATTTTTTTAGTTAACAAATTGGTGAAATATCGAGATGACTGTTCAAAGGATCGTATTTTCTTTTGATCATTAAGTTAAGGATTGCGAGGGAACTTCGCAAATTTGCTGAGGAGAAATGAAAAGTTTAAGACGCAAGTAGAGAGAGATGTGATGGACGCATATATGTTTCCTCGTTTGCCTTGAAAAAAAAAAATGATGGACGCATAAATGGCTATATCTGTAACCATATTTTTTGTCGGCAAATGCTACAAGTATATAATACATGTACATAAAGGTGTATATAACACTCACATGGAGTGGGATCAACTTGATTTTTATTTTTTGTAGGTCCCACTTAATGTGAGTGTTATGTAAATCTCTATGTACAATATTATGTATCTATAGTATTTTTTTGCCCAAGTTAACTTTTTTTTTGATCGGTAAATAAAATTTTATAGCTCAAAAAATGTTTTTACAACGACCGTCACGCGGCATACAGAAGCGAAGTGGGCCACCACAATCTGGTCTCTCACTCGCTAATCAAATGAAACCGTAATCAACTAACAAGCATCTAAGATGACTCTCAATCATATGTACCATAAGGAGGCTAGGCCAAGCCATTCCCGAGGGTCTTTCTCTCCATGTCGTCAAGGACATTCGGGTACAAAGCAAATATATTTCTATAGACATGTGTTTGAATCTTCCGGATAATGAGCTCCAGAGATTGCACCTCATTTTTCAAAAATCTTCCTATTTCGAGCATTCCAAAGGAAGTACACCGTAGCAGCGAGCCCGGCCTTTGTTGCTTTTGTTCTCCAACCGGAGCCATGGGATTCCTTCTTAATCCACTTCAAAGCACTCTTTAGAGTGGAGAGTTGTCGCCTCAATCCTAGCCAATGTCGGATGCCAAGCCACACTTGAGCCGAAAGGGGGCAAGTGAAAAAGAGGTGATCCTTTGTCTCGGAAGCTTCCCCACAAAAGGCACAAGTAGGGTCAATATCAAGGAAGCCAAGTCTATCCTTGGTTCGGAGCCTTCCGAGCGTTGCAAGCCAAAGAATGAAGGCGTGTTTGGGAGTATTGGCGGGCCCCCAAATCACACCCTTCCATGGGACGGGTGTGCCTCGGGATCGGAAGAAATCATATACGCACGAGGGCCCCTTGGAGTGAGAGTTGGAATCCCAAAGACTAAGAGCGGACTCGGCGGCTTGCATGCTACCCAACTTTTCAACTATTAGGTTCCGAAGGCATATAGGTTCTTGAAAATAGGGGAATCGTCCTTGTGGATGGTCCATTGCCACACGGATTTTTGCCTTAGGTAAACATGATGAACCCAACGGTACCACAAGGTATCTTTCTTGGTTTAAATATTCCATAGTGTTCTTGCTAACAAAGTTTGGTTTCACGCTTTAAGGTCTCGAAGCCCTAAGCCTCCCTCCGAACGTGGAAGGGTGACGGTGTGCCAAGCCACCGGTGCCATCTTTGAGCCCCAAAGGAAGCGGCGACATCGTTGGATGATGAGTGTACGGACGGTCGACGGAAGAGGGAAGATAGACATCCAAAAGCATTCCACCCCTTGGAGGACCGATCTAATGAGCTCCACTCGTCCCGCATATGAGAGAGAGGAAGCGTTCCATCCATTGATGTATTCCGAAATTTGATTAATGAGAGAATCAAATTGCCCAACGGTGACTCTTTCCGCCGTGAGTGGGATACCGAGGTACCGAAACGGCATAGACCCCGGCCGGAGGTTAGTGTCCCAAAGAATCTCCGAATGCTCCATTTGGCCAACTCCCGCCACGTAGATGTTGGATTTTAGGACATTCATTTCCAAACCCGATTTAGCTCCAAAGTCCCTCAAGCAATCCATTAAGATTTTAATAGAAAAAAGGTCGCCCCTCGAAAGGAGCATTAAATCGTCCGCAAAGGCAAGATGAGTGATTTTAAGGAACTTACATTTCGGGTGATATTTGAAGCCCGACCCGCTAGCCGTGCTCCAGTTCATGAGTCTCGAGAGATACTCCGAGCATATAACAAAGAGATAAGGTGAGAGCGGATCTCCTTGTCTCAACCCCTTGGCACCTTCGAAGTGGCCTTGGAGAGAACCATTTATAGAGATTGAATATGAAGTCGTGGTGACACACTTCATGATCCAATTAATAAAGGTTGCCCGGAATTCAAGTCCAAGAAGAACTTGCCTCAAGAAAGCCCAAGAGATAGAGTCAAAAGCCTTACGAAGGTCTATCTTGATAGTGCACCTCGGGGAGATCCTCTTTCGCATGTATTGCCGGAGTAATTGTTGCATGAGGTGAATATTATCTTGATAGTCCTACCCCTCACAAATGCGGCTTGAGCTCCATCAATGATTGAGGCAAGAACGGGGCTAATGCTTTGGGTAATAATTTTCGAGCAAATTTTGTAAGTAGTGTTGCAACACGCAATCGGCCGGAAATCCGATACTTGGGACGCGTGGGAGCCTTTTCGTACCATAACTAAGGTAGTATGGTTCTATTGCTTGAGTAGGCGCCCATTTCTAAAGAATTCTTGCACGGCCAAGGTGAGATCCTTCCCAACAATGTCCCAACTCTTCCGAAAAAATGTTGAAGTGTACCCGTCTGGGCCGAGGGCTTTGCCGCTTTCAATGTCATCAACTGCGGCTTTGATTTCATTTTCCGAGGCAAGGAGCGCGTGATGGTGCTCTTGTGGTAGAAGTGGGCCATGTCGGATGATCTCGGGATCAATATCATCGGCCGGAGTCTCGTTACCAATGAGCCTTTCGAAGTGGGAGACAAACTCCTTGGACACTTCATCGAGAGAAGTGGTCAAATTCCCATTTTCTTTTGATATAGAGGCTATGAAATTCTTCTTAGCATTTCTTTTGACAAGGACGTGGTAGAAACCAGTGCATTTGTCTCCCTTAATTTGGAATTGGCACTTTGCTTTTTGTTGAAAGAAGTGCTTCTCCGCTTTGGCTAGATTAATGGAATTGAGGCGGAGAGTGGGTAAAGAAGCCTTTACCTCCAAGTCATCGGGATTGTCGTGGAGTTTTTCTTGTGCTAACTAGCCCAAGTTAACTTAATAGCCAAATTCATAGGAATGAATGGAAAATGGAATTATATAATTTAGTGACAATTTTTTTTTGGGGAGAATCCCATTTTAGTTTATATAAATAATAACCTGAACATAGACAGTTTCTCACCTGCAGTTTCTCACCTGTAATAATAATTTTCGAGTGCAGTAAGTTTGCACAATTTTGTTACGGAGTTATTGGATGACTCGACTTATGGAGTCGTCCACACTAATTCACCAATAGTGTATTGACACATGTCATATAATAAATACTATTTAGACAAGTGCCAATATATTAAGTGATGAATGGTTGCATAAAAAAATCGATGGCTCCATAGAAATTTTGTAAGTCAGTTTGCATTAGTTGGACAAAAGTTGCGATAATGAGTAGAAAACCTCTCTTAGCGAAGGTGACCAATCCGTTCAAAAATGAAAATGGGATTTTATTTGGGCTAAATTGCAAAAACTAGCCACTAACTTAGACGGGTTGGTAATTTTAGCCACATTCTTTTCATTTTGGTACTTTTAGCCAAAACGTTTTAAAAATTCGGTCTTTCTACCCAAATCCGGCCAAAGTCGTCGGAACTCCGCCTGAGAACACCGAAATTGCCAGCGTGGACCTACACGTGGACACTTAATCCACATCAGCTCGCTCCTCTATAAATACCCCTTCCACGCGTATTTCCTTCACATTTGACAGAAAAATTTGGGGAAAAATCGGGAGCCAATTCGAAACCCTAAAATCACGCAGAAACCCTAATGCTTGCGAAATCTACTCGTTCGGCATACGATTAAAGAAATTCGACTTAAGAGTGAAGCTCTAACAAGATGTCTGACATCAGCACAGATTATCCTTATCCAAATTGCAATTGTGGGCGGAGAGCTGAAATTCGAACTTCGTGGAAAACCCCCAATTGTGGAAGAAGATTTTTTCGTGCCTCCATTGAAATGTAAGTCGCACATCTTTGTAATTTGATGTTTTTAGCTGAATAAATGCTTTGTAATTTAATTTAGTTTTTTTTTTTTGCTCGAATTAAGGAAGGAGGATGCAATTTTTTTGGATGGGTCGATCCACATCTATGTGCCCGTGCTCAACGAATAATTCCTGGGTTGCTCAAGAAATTGAATGAAATGGAAGAATCGACTAAAAGGGCTGACATTGAAAAGATGGAGCTCCTCTATGTCCTTGAAGAAGAAAACAAGAAAATGAAGAAAAAGAAATTTGAGTTTGAAGAAGAAAACAAGATTTTGAAGGCAGAAATTATGAAATTGAAAAATGAGTGTACCAAAAAAACAAGACTTTTGAGGATGATAGTAGGATTATTGATAATATTAATTTTCATCTTTTTCTGTGGCTCTCACACAGTTGATGAATAATTGATATTAGGTTTATGTATTTGTAATGTTATTAATATGGTTTTGTAATGGCATCAACATTTTGGAAGCTATTAATATTAGTGGTATTTACATGTTAGTATGTTTACCATTGTCATTATCTGTTAGTTTGTTTCTGAAATACATGTAGCACAAAAAAATGTGCACAAAACTTCACATAAGAAACAAACACTGCACAAACTCATTACAACTCATATTAAAACCATAACAAATTCATTACCAAATCCAACACATATTTCCACAAGTCCTGCACAAAATCCTGCAAACTATATCACTAAATCCATATCAAAAAACCTTACCAAATCTATATCAAAAAACCTTACCAAAGCCATATAAAAA